GCGCCCGGCACATACATACATTTCTGGTAAACTGTACATAAGAGCAAAAAAACACCTTATCACAAAAATCTGGATACTGATTATCTCTAGAGGTGAAGGGGAGAGCTGTGATTGGGAAGAACCTCAGTAGGTATATGTCTGGAGGGACAGGTAATGTTCCAATTCTTGTCACTAGTGTTTGTTTATAATCATTTTTAAATAGGACACACAAGTTTCATGCATTCTAGCTCATGTCTGATATACCTCACAATAAAAAAATGCATTTACAAATTTTAAAGTCCTGGCCAAGTATGGTGGCTCATGCCTGTAATCCCAACACTTTGTGAGGCTGAGGCAGGAAGACTGAATAAAGCCAGGAGTTCCAGGCCAGCCTTGGCAACATAACGAGACCCCTGTCTCTATAAAATAAAAAATTTAAAAAATTGACTGGCTATGGTGGCGTACGCCTGTAGTCCCTGCTATTCAGGAAGCTGAGGTGGCAGGATCGCTTGGGCCTAGCAGTTTGAGGCTACAGTAGGCTATGATCCTGTACTATGGCCTCAGTGACACAGCAAAACCCTGTATCTAGAAAAAAAAAATTTAAGTCCTAGTCAGATATTACCTGATAGGAGAACTAATCTCCCCACATATACAAAAGAGGATTTTTCTCATCTCCTTCTCCTAAGCCCACCTGTAAAGGAGAATTTTTCTCTTTATTTTTTCTTTTCTGAGAATTTTTCTCATATATTTCTCCCAAACCAGAAAAATAAGTAAGATGCTAATTAATATCTTGCTAATAGGGTTAGAGGGTCAAGTTGGTTTGGCTAACAAAAACATAAACAAATGAAATAATATATAATAAAAACATTTAAAAGTGTAAAGTATTTCATAAATATCAGCTATTATGTTAACCAAATATGGCCTTTTCTCTGAATAAGCTTGCTAAAATTCCAGCTGGATGACATAGTCATAGATTCTACCGGCTTATGACCTATCACAAGTTGATAACGGTTAACAGAGTTAAAAAAAAACTAAGACTAAATATAAAATGTTGAAGTCAAGAAATATATAGAGATGGATCCCTAAATTTAAAATGTTTTACTTGGGAAGCAAGAATTGTATTTCAGGGCATACACACAGGCTGGGTGGTCTTAGACATGTGTGAAGAACAAAGGGATGACTGGGAGTTGTATTAAAAAGAGAAATAGTATATGTTGTTTTGAAAGCAAGCTCACTGGCACTAGAGAAAGTTTTGGGAGTTGGCAAACTCTGATTAGTGAGTGACCATGGTATGTAAAACTAGTCCTAAGAGTCATGGCAAGTCATTTCAGCAACTACAAGGTCAAACTGGTCTCAGGGTTACATTGGGTCATTTCAGTAGCTGTGCTTGTGAAAATGTTAATTATTGGAGCATGTGGTATGTGCTCTGAGAGCTTGTTCCCCCTAGCTTCTCAACTCTGATTTAGTTGGGTATGACAAGAATGATTCAATATGTATAATCAACTTTCACAAAAATAATCCCTGGAGAAGAAAAGTAACCATGCAGCTTTTATGAACAAGAACATAAGTCTGATCATTAATTCAAGAAACAACCCTATGAGGCCAAGCATAGTGGTTCACATCTGTAATCCCCAGCACTTTGGGAGGCCGAGGCAGGTGGATTACCTGAGGTCAGGAGTTTGAGACCAGCCTGATCAACATGGTAAAATCCCATCTCTAATAAAAATTCAAAAAAATTAGCCAGTCATGGTGGTGCACGCCTGTAGTTGCAGCTACTCAGAAGTCTGCGGCAGGAGAATCACTTGAACCTGGGAGATGGAGGTTGCAGTGAGCCAAGATCACACCACTGCACTCCAGCCTGAATGACAAAGTGAGACTCTGTAAAAAAAAGAAAGAGAGAGGGAGAAAGAGAAAGTAAGAAGGAAGGAAGGAAGGAAGGAAGCAAGAGAAAAGAAAGAGAAAGAGAGAAAGAAAGAAAAGAAAGAAAGAAAAAGAAAGAAAGAAAGAAAAGAAAAGGAAAAGAAAAGAAAAGAAAAGAGAAAAGAAAAGAAAGAAAGAAAGGGAAAAGAAAGAAAAGAGAGAAGAAAGAAAGAAAGAACAAACGAACCCCATGTATACGGGGATGTTAAAACATACCAAAAAGTCTTTGGCAGGGCAAAGGAGGATAAAAAGAGGTGAGGTTTGCTTGCACTCAATTCTAATGACAGGAGATAAAGTTCAATCAACTAAACAACAAAAATTAACTCAGTACCTAGTATTGAAATCAAGAAGTATTCCATCCCTCCTATGGATAAAAAGATATTATTTTGAAGGAAACACAAGGAAATGTATAATACAGCTCATGATCTTAAGAAAAATACAACCAGCATAGTGCCTGGTAATAAAGAAAACCCAAAAAAGCATAAGATATGGTCCTAAACATGAAAGCAAAAATTCTTAAAAAAAAAAAAAAAAAA